CGCACGACTCACCAGACTCGCCTGCTGCCGGTCTCCTGTTCTGGCCCCTGTTTGTGCTTCCCTCGCGGGCGCTGCTTGCCCCCCTGCCCCTTCCTACCTGGCTGGGTCCCCCTCGCGCTTCCTGACCGAGCACCGTCCTTCTTCCCCAAGGCCCCTGGGACCATTGCAGCGGCCAGAGCGCGCACCCCCTCCTCCTCTCCACTCCCCCCTTCTCGACACGTCTCCTCGGTGATGAGTCACATTCAGCCCTGCCGCACGGCACAGCGCCGCGCGAGGTTCTTAAAAGCAGGAACTAGACCGCGCCAGACATCTGTGTTCATGGCACCACGCACGTGGTAGGTCATCTGGAATGTGAGCTTATAGCAGGCAAATTAGGTCGGTGTGGAGTGCCTTTTACGAGTGCAGTTTTCAGGCCAGAGAGTTTAGGGCGTAGAGTAACCGTGTCGAAACTCGGCAGGTGCAAAGCCAAAGCAGGCAGTGGACCCGAAGCGTGTACATCTTGACGTCTTTGCAAATCCTAAAATTTGAGATGTCGGCAAAGCTGGTAAGTCCCCTACGAAATGCACTTTTATCCTAACTGGGGGATTTGCTGACATAACTCGATGAATAGCATTTTCTTATTTGTATACGGAAGAAAAGGGATAGACCCAAACGGTGTGGCACAGGTCTAAACCGCTGCTGGATTCGATACCCTATCACCGACGTACCTGCTCCTGCCTTTCCCGGAATACGGCCATTTTCCATTTCTCATTCCTTCCCTCATCCTGCCCCCACTTCCGGCACCTGTGCCAACTGCTGCCTTTCTTGGGGAGGATGTGTTTTGTTCCTTCCTTCCTTCCTTCCTCCCTCCCTCCTCCCTCCCTCCCTTCCTTCCCATAAATTCATTGTCAAATTGGCTTCCGTACCACACCCAGCACTCATCCCAACAGGTGCCCTCCTCAGTGCCCCTCACCCACTTTCCCCTCCCCCCCACCCCCACCCCCGCTCAGTTTATTCTCAGTTTTTAAGAGTCTCTTATGGTTTGCCTCCCTCCCTCTCTGTAGCTTTTCTCCCCCCCTTCCCCTCCCCTCTGGTCTTCTGTTAAGTTTCTCGCGATCCACAGAGGAGTGAAAACATATGGTATCTGTTTTTCTCTGCCTCACTTATTTCACTCAGCCTAACACCCTCCAGTTCCATCCACGTTGCTGCAAATGGCAGGATTTCCTCATTTTTAATGCCTCTTGATGATTCCACGAGAGGTGTAGCATGCACGATGAACGGTAGAGAGCATTCCGGTTACCTATCTGCTGGCAAACCACGGCCAGCCGTGGCTCACAACAGTGACTTGTTATTAACTCTTGTGGCTCCGGGGGGCTGACTTGGCTCAGCTGAGCGGCTCTGGTGCACGTGCAGTCAGAGGGCGGCAGGTACCTGAGTCCTGCGAAGGCCCCGGGGGGCTGGCTGGTGTCGGGGACCCCAGCCGAGCTCCCCGCCAGGCTGCTTCCGGCCCCTCCTCGCACGGTCTCGGCCGGGGTCCCAGAGGAGGCCTGCACCCCGGCCGTGGGGGGCCTGCCTTTCTGTGACTCGGCCTCCGAAATCCCCCATCACTACCCACGCTGGATGCTAGTGGTCAGGCCGCTGGCCAAGTGCAATGCAGGTTCAAGAAGACGGAAATTAGATTGTACCTTTGGACGCACGAGTGGCACTCCTATTCGGGGAGGAAAGGAAGTGAAACTGGCCTCTTCCAGGGCCATCCCAGGGAGGGAACACAGCACCGACCCACAGGTGCCCAGGTCAGCGGGGTCTCACCACGCCAGCACCCCGCCACCCCAAACAAGACCCAGATGTGCTCCCCACAAACGCTGCAGATGACTACGCTGTGACCCGCACCCTGGGCCATGGGGACTGCTCAGCAGGAGTTGAGTCAGCGAGGGCCATGGGCCTTCCCAGCGGTTGAAGGGGCATTGACTTTTCCGGCCACGTGCTCACCAGCAGACGTCGGTCACCTGAGTGTCAAACACCTTCTGACACTAACCTCCAAGCTGAAAGCCCGTCAGAACCTCTGTCATCCGCTAAGGAAACAGTACAAACTGTGAGGAAGGCGACTGGACTGAGAAACATTCTCTGCATGACTGTGGCTTGAAATCGTTGACATTCTGACGATTCTATACGTTTTATGATTTAAGAAGCGGTTTCTTCATGATTATCGACGTTTGCCGAGTGCCTGGTTTCCCTTTGAACTTCTTCTTCCTTAAGGGAGCCAGTGTGGGTTCTCGGCCGTGGCTGCCTGGCCAGGGCCTCACTTTGGTGCTGTAGTCGAGGGTCCGGGGAAGCCCTCTCAGGCCCCAGGGCTGCCGGCCGGCAGTTAGCATGGAGCAAACAGCCTCACCTCGGAGTCTAAAGCGATTCCTACGGCTGCGATGTTCATTCACCAAACCACACCCGGAATTTGTCCTGAACGGACTTCTCACATTCACCATCAAACTTCTCGGACTGGAGCGTCGCATATAGAAAATGCATCCCTGCAGGCCGCATTTCTTGCTTTCACGCAGCTCGCCGTGTCGGTGCAGGTGAGCGGCCCGATTTAAATTTGGGGGAGGTCATGTAAGGCTGAGACCTCACAGGGTTTTTGACCCGGGCAGTCTCTGGAGAGATCAAGGCAGAGTGGGCCGAGCCTCCTAAGGAAGACCTATGCTATGGATTTACTTTGAAATACAGAAGGACTGTGGAGGCACAGGACACAGCAGGCACGTGCAGGCCACTGGCCCCAGGGTAGCGGCCTCAGCCGTGGGGCCGTGGAATGGAAGGGCGCCAGGCCCGCGGCTGACTCTGCCCATCCGTGTCTCCCTGGGGGCGGGAGAGGAGTGCGAGGGGAGGGGGTCGAGCCTGGGGAGGCTTTGTGCCACCTCTGCCTCCTCGAGTTCCACTTCTGAAGGGTGGCCCGCGAGTCGGCCACAGGTGTCCCGGCCCCCCAGCTAGGGCGCTGTGACTGAGCCCCTGCTCTGTGGCTGCTTCCCTGTGTGACCGCACTGTTCAGCTTTTCTCCACTTGCTACTTTGTTGGACTTGGGGTCTTAGCACAGATTTCCCTTTCTTTTTCTTTCTTTCTTTCTTTCTTTCTTTCTTTCTTTCTTTCTTTCTTTTTATTTTAATTATTTTGAGAGAGGAACCACAAGCAGGGGAGGGGCAGAGAGAGAGGGAGACACAGAATCGGAAGTGGGCTCCAGGCTCTGAGCTGTCCACACAGAGCCCGACTCAGGGCTCGAACTCACAGACTGTGATATTGTGACCTGAGCTGAAGTCAGACGCTCAACCAACTGAGCCACCCAGGCGCCCCTACATTTATTTATTTTTGAGCGACAGAGACAACATGAGCAGGGGAGGGGCAGAGAGAGAGGAAGACACAGAATCCACAGCAGGCTCCAGGCTCCGAGCTGTCCGCACAGAGTCCCACGCGGGGCTCGAACCACGAACTGCGAGATGGTGACCTGACCTGAGATCAAGAGCCAGATGCCTTCCCGACTGAGCCCCCAACGCCCCTCCTTTTAGATGCGGACCAGCTCCAGGCTGTAATCGCTGTGGAAGGGCTGACCTTCCCATATGCCTGTCACACACGGCCACTGCAGGGGAGGTTAGCAGAGACAGAGAGCAGGACACACGGGGACCCGGTTCCCCAGGTGGCCTGGGGCCCCCAGAAGGCAGCCCTTCCAGCAGCTTCCACCTCCGGCAAGGGGCAGGAGCGCGAAGGGCGGGGGGATGGGCAGGAGGAAGAGCGGGGAGGCGTTCCCTTTTCTCTCCACCCAGCCCCGGCCTGTCACAGGGACAGAGGGAAGTCACTTGGAGGCGGGCCTCTCGAACAGCGGGGGACAGGGCACCTGCCTCAGTGGGAATCTTAAGCTCTGCCACAGACACCACCTCAGGACTCAGGGAGGAGAGATCCTTATTCAAAAGGACTATTGTAAGGCAGGGCCAACGGGTCCCTGCGACATAAGGTCCGTGAGTGGCTCGGAATGAACCAGAGAACGTTCTTGTTCCGCAGGGTGAGGGGAAGGAGGAGAAGAAGCAGGCGGTTTGGGGGGGAAGCTGGACACAGGGAAGGGCCGGTCCTGCCAGGACGAGCGACCGCCGTGGCCAGCCGGGTCCCAGGAGGAGCGCCGAGGGGGACAGAGTGCAGGGGTGCGCAGGAGGCCTGAAGCCTGACTGACGGGCGTGGACACCGCGCAGGGTGGGCGCCCAGCGGTCGGGGGCGCCCGGCGAGCTCAGCGAGGGGAGGACCGACAGCGCCGGCCGGTCTGGCCTCGGGTCGTGTTGGTCTCTGGGTCCCGTCGCTCTAAGACCTTTGGTACCTCCTGGGCCTCGACTTGCAGCAACACACCCTACGAAGATCTGGATTATGGTCCCAGAATTCTTTCTCCGTTTCTTTTTCTTTTTGCTGTTTTTAAGCCGCTCGCACCTAAACATGAATCCCCCGGGCGAGTCCTCGGTTACTACGTCGAACCGCAGGGCACTCCTACCTGTCACCTGCCGTCTCACAAAGGGCCCAGGCCCAGGGCTTAAGGACTTGTGTGTTGGACCCAAACTCGCCGAGAGCCCCGTCCGCTTCGGCACTGTTCCAACTGCTCCACGGGGACGGCCGCCGATGCTTCTGGGGACACGCCGAGGCCGCTACCTGACCGGGGATGGGACCGGGGTGTGGAGAGGGCCAGTGGTCTACCTGTGGGGGCACAGGTTTGGGGGGAAGGCGGGCACAGGGGCTCCGGGGGCCGCCTCACGGAACACAGTCTCAGGCGCCCTTTCGCAAACATCTCTACGGCCCCCCGGGCAGTTTGCAAAGCGCCCTGGTTCACGGGAAGTAAACGGGCACAGGAGGGGGAAGGCGCGAGGGCAAACGTGGCCACACGTGGAAAAGCAGCTCAAAGGCACCCTGAGGAGCACCCAGCTCGGCTCCGCGGCTGGCGTGAGCCTGCTCCCGGGGTCATGTGATCGCTCGATCACCTACGGGACGTACACGGTTAACCTTCTGCATTTGGGCACATAGGCGTCACTCTTCAGTAGGAAGTGGTCGCAGTTCAGCAACTCGCTCTCGGCCACTTTTGGTCTCTCCCTGCTTTTTTTTCTGCACGACCAGTAGAAACTGCATCGGGTCAACGGCATCCCGGTGCTGACGCGAAGCATCCCCGGGGCCTCGGGCAGGACGATTCCCGTCGGATCCCAGCGCTTCTCAGGTGAGCACGGCCGAGCCCCTCCCTTCTTTGAAAAGCATCTTCACATCCTTGACGCCCCCGCCTGATGGGTGCCACACGTGGAGCGGTGGCCCTCCGGGGATTTCCAGAAGGCTGGCGTGGTGACTGCGCCACTGGATAAAGCTCAGTCTGGCCTTCACCAAGACGCTGTCCTTCTGGGTTGAGGAACAGGGCTGGGCTGTCGGGGATCTTGCCTTTCCTCTCAGCGTGCGGGCGGTGATCTCATCTCCACCGCCCGGACGACTCGGGCTTTGCTGCTTTATGGGGTTAAACCCCCACGGGGCAGCAGTCTCGCGTGAAATGCAGCCGTTTATGTAGCTAAGCACACAGAGTCTGAAGAGCTAACAACTGAGCTAAGAGATGTTTTGGCAGCAATGCAGAAAGCGATTTGTGCAAAGAAACACGGCGAGGGGGCGTCTTGCGCGGCTGGAGATTGAGGGGGAAGGAGCTTGTCAGGTGTTATTTAAGAGAAATCGATGGGGTGGAAACTTTTATGAGAGTCAGGGAAATACACAAGAAGCTCTGATAAGGGCTGCAAATGCCATCACGATTGTGAAGTCAGTGTCTCGTGACCACAAAAGAATACATAATGATCTTCAAGATCTCAAGCCTGTCCCTGGCTCCCTCCAAAGCCTGTGTAGCAGCAAAATTAGGTACTGTGGAGATCAGCGCTGTGAGGACGTACAACGTGAGGTCCGGATTAAAACTATTCTTGAAGGGATGAAAAGTTTAATTTCTGCCACCGAGAAAGAAAATGTAAAAGCGAGCTTCCAAAGAAGCAAAGGAAACCAAAAGAAAAAAAAAAAAATCACCAACCTATATACAAATCATTGGAAAAAACCTTCTGGCTTCTCTCTTAACCACTTATTCGAAAGCAGAAGGAAGCTGGCCTAGAGTTTCAGCTCTGCTGCTCTTTATCTAAAAAAGGATAAAACACCGTGAGCCCGCGGTTCAAGCGATTGAGAAAACACACGTTTATGAATACCGACGACTGCAGTGTGAGAGATTCTGGTATCAGTTAAGAGGCTGTACAATAAGTAGGTCGTTTAAGATCTTCTGGGGATTTATGGGGCTTGAGTAAAACCCTCTGGAGACAGAGTGAACGGGACGGTAAGGGTGAACAGCCCTCCAGCCTTCCATCTGTAAAATGGGTATAGCGTCTGCCTTAAAGGGTTTCTGTGGTTAAATGAGATGATAGAGTAGTGACCCCAGCGGCCAGTGTGCACTTATAACTTAACGTGTAGTACACCCCCACAGTGCTCTCACACACGTGCACACAGCCATGCACGCATATACGTACACACGCCCGCATGCACACAACATATACACGCAGGCACACACGACACGCATGCACACAAACACACGTGCACAAAAATGCACACACGCACGCACGTGCCCACCTGAGACACGCCTGTACAAACGCACGCACACGACATACGTATGCAGGCACACACATAACACGTCCACACGTGCAAATATACACACAGAGCCCACGTGTACTCACACACTTAGGCACACAGGTACGCGTGCACACGGGACGCACATAGCCGCTCGTAGTTGGTTCTCGTTCTGTACCCTGCGGGCCATCGCTATTTACAAAAGCAAACGCAGATTTAAAACCCTCTGCTTTAATTCCACTCATGACAGACCGTGAAAACGACGATACAATTTGTTTTCATTCAGACGTGAAGCTTTCCTTGCTGATGATATTTTGATGAATCCTAGGAACGTCTTCCCCTTACTCAGTGTTCTTGGGCAGAGTCTGCCCTTGGCCAAATGGGCAGTGGAAGCCGGCCTGTCGGCCGCCCCTTCTGCTTTTTTAGCGCCTCCTCCCTTCTCTAGGGGATCCTACTTCCCTTTTGCTGCCCTGTGTCGGCCACCGCCCACTCCCGGTCCCAGTGGGCGGCCGGCCGGCCCGAGGCTGTGTCCGTTAGCCGGCCCCAGCTAGGACACTCGCAGTGGTGGCCACCGGCCCCCGGTCAGGTGACCGAACACCCCCCAGAGCCCTCCGGGCTCCAGAGCAGAGGTGCGGCCGGAGGGGTCCACCAAAGCCAGCAGGCTCCTGTTGGGGGCGGCCGGCCGGCCCGCCCCTGCGTTTCTCCTAAACTGTAGCCAGTGGATGGGCCGCTTTCCTCGGCTTCCTGGGCGGGGTCTTTTAGGTCACCGACCATCAGACGGTCTCCTCGTCTGTGAACGAGTCGACCAATTAGCAGTTACTTTCCGAGACTCTCTTGCCTGTGGTCTCCAACAAAAACCACGCTAGTTTATTGCGATAAAACCGTTAGTCGGTATTTTAAACGCTATCTTTAAAAGCGTTACTCCACTTAGGTAACATTACATTTTTCCGCAAGTAACACTTTCTTTTCACGTGTGGTCACAAAACCTTTGACGTGCCGACACCCGAAAGCAGACACTGTGATCACTTACCGCACGTCTACGTGTTGTCGGATTGTAGCACATTTGCTTTTCGCTTAGAAGGGCGATGTATCTGTACGGTTTCAGAATGTGACTGCGCGAGTCACGCGACATTCGACCTGTCGTCACGTGACTCTAAAACAGGAAGGGGAGACCCGCACAGGCACGGCTTCCAACGAAAGCCAATTTCTGAGTCGGGGCCGCTGCGAGAAGAGTCAATCAGGCATCAGCGTGAGGCCCGCATCGTTTTTGTTTCGTGCGGTTTCTGAGTGAAGGGATACGCCCCAGGTTAGAGACTGAGGACGCCGCGCGGTGCCTGAAGCTGGGTGACCCTCTTGCCTCGCTGGCGTCCCTCGCACGTTCGCCGTATCGGGCACCGTCAGCCCTGGCGGGACCGATCTATCGGCGGACGGCAGGTGTGCCCGGAGCTTGGCCCTCTCTTTGAATGAGCTGATGGATACGTCCTCTGGGTCAGCTGTTTCCCAAGTGGTTTCCAAAGAACACTGGCTCCAAAGGGTCTGTGGGTGAAGTAGGTTCAGGAGACTGTGATGGCTCAAGCAGGGCTGAGAGCCATCGACAATACACTGCCGTGTAAGGATCCAAGAGGAGGGTGCGGTTGGTGGCATTTCCCAAACTTATTTAGCCACAGAGCAATCTCTTCCCTCTTCCCTTCCTTTTCTCCTTCTACCCAGAACCTTTCTGGGGACTCTCTCTTATTTTTTTAATTAGTATTATTATTTAATGTTTATTTTTGAAGGAGAGAGAGAGACAGAGCGTGAGCGGGGGAGGGGCAGAGAGAGGGGGAGACACAGAATCGGAAGCAGGCTCCGGGCTCCGAGCCGTCAGCCCAGAGCCCGACGTGGGGCTCGAACCCACGAACCGTGAGAGCATGACCTGGGCCGAAGTCAGACGCTCAACCGACGGAGCCCCCCAGGCGCCCGGGGACTCACTTTTAAAGTCTGGTCCGTTCCAGTGACTGCGTCTCTTGGTGCCGGAATCCCCCTGGGAAGGAGCGGTTCCCGCATGAGCATAAGGGTGACAGTAACGTGCAGGGTGTGCGGACTCCAGCCGCCGAGTGGTCAAAGCAGACATTCACGGGACCCACAGATCTCACCTGAATCAAGCTGTTCTAACAAATCAGAAGACCCAGGCGACCACCAGGCACAGAGAAACGTCCCTCTCCTGGAGGAGCCCCAAACCACTAGACAAGCTCACTACAAACGGGCTTTGGTGACAAACTAGCATAAGGTGTGGGTGGAGAGTGAGTGTGAAAACAAGGTTTGCAGACACCCCCAGTCCACACCCACTCGTCACACAGATGGAAGGTCCCGGGTGCCTAGTTCCCATCCTCCCGCGGACCATGCTCCCGGTCCCTAAACTCGGGTTTCTCTGCAGTCAGAAACGTAGGGGCACAGGGTCGGTCTGCTTAAAAGCATGTTTAGGTAGGGACCCCCGGGATTCTCTCCTGCGGCAAATGCCATTAACGTACTTCCAAGGACGGCTGGTCAAGGCTCCCGGTCCCTGGCGCCCCGGCTGGAAGGGGCCACTTGCAGCCTCCTTTCCAGAGGCTTCTAGCACGAGAAACACTGACTCGGCAGGTCCCATCCTCCTCACGGCTCCTCATTTTCAGTACAGACTCACCCCCCTGTGCTTGACAGATAAGCATCTCCTGGGGGAGCCCGGGGCCGGTTTTGCAAACTCTTCCTGACGTTGGGGGTGGCAATGTGTTTGTGGAACCTCCGCTTGTTGCTGGGCGGCTGAGGCCGGACCCTCGTTCACAGCACAGCCTTGCGGGAGAGCTGGTGACTTCCTTCCCACCTGACCCCTGATCGTTGTTAGGCGAGGCGGCTTCTGTTCTGATACAGTCGCTCCTTGCTTTCATCGTGGCCGTTTGGCTCTAGCTGAGTCCCGCCGGCATTTTTCCCCAACTTACTCAAAATTGCTCTAAATCCGACGGAGCGGAGGCGGAGACCCATCACCCACCTGATTGCAGACCCTGCAGTTCTGCTTTGGCCCAAGAGGGTGAACACACTGAATTCAACAGGACGCACGGACCGAGCACTGTTTTGGTTTTCTGTTGCTGTCCTCACGACGTCAGCGGCCTAACCCCCACACTCTTCGAACCTCCCAGTGCTGGAGGTCGGGGGTCTGATGCGGGTCGTGCAGGCTGAAACGGGCGTGTTGGCAGGGGCTGTGCTCCTTTTGGAGCCCCTAAGGGAGGATCAGCTCTTTGCAGGTGCAGGGGTGGGTGAGGTCCCCGTTGTCACGTTGGCTGTCGGTGGGGGCCGGGCCCGGCTCGTGGAGCCCACTCACCTGCTTGGCGTTCAAAGCGACGACGGACTGAGTCCCCCCCATGCTTTGAATCTCTCTCTCCCGCTCCCATCTCAGCTGGGGAAGGTCCCCACTTTTAGGGCTGCACAGCCACACCAGGCCTACCTGGGTAATCTGGGGTCTGCTCTCCATCTCAAGGCGCTAACGCTTGGTCCCATCTGCAAAGCCCCTTTTGCCGCATGAGGGCACGCGCGCACAGTTTCCGGGGATTCGGGCGCGGATGTGGGTCCTGCTGA